CGGCGGCGGCCAACAGCGACACCCGGAGGCGCCGCCGCAGCACTGCAGCCGCCTTTGAGCTGCGCTGGGGCTGCGGCTGCACCGGCGCTGGGGTCTCTCCTCGATTTCAATCAGCAATCAAAGCGGCACCTGCTTAATGTGTTTCCTAAGACCTTTATAACTGAGATGCGCTGTCGGGTGGTTCTAGGTCATTATCACAGTTCATAGTGAGAATCAAATATCCATAAATATTCATAGCAGAGATTAAAGGAAAGACATCAGCTACTCTTAATAAAAACAGGGCTAAAATAGAGGAGCAATAAATTATATTAGAAGGAAGACTTCAAGATCATTTGTGCACTGTGTGAGATCTCTTGAATTCTGCTGAATTCATTACCTGGGATGAATTAACCTGAAAAATGGATCAGCCTAAAGCAACTGAAAGGACATCTATGCTAAGGTAGCAGATTTATCAGTTACTATTTTCTTTGGGATTCTTGAAATGTCCTTCTTTTTATGTCCGTACTTGAGGGGCTGACAATGGCAAAGTGCAAAGCCACAACGAGTCCTTCATAGATTCAAACAATGCTTTCAGTTCAAAGGGTTCTTTTAAGGTCATTCAATCCCCAGCTCTGCCATGGGCAGGAACACTTTCCACTAGACTAAACACTCAAAACTTCATCCAACATGCCCTTTAACTGCAGAAGTATCTGTAACTTCTCTTGGAAAAAAAACCCTTGTCTATACCCTGTCACTAAGGCCCTAAATAACAGGCTCTCTCCATCTTTTGGTTGAGCTTAAAGAAATAATAATAAATGGAAAAGGGAAAAAAATCCACACAAAGGCCTCTTTTCTCCATGTTTAAGGACCTGAACTCCTTCATCCCTTATTTATAGCAGAAGTGTTCCCACCTTCAGATCATTTTTGTGGTTCTTCTGCAGAAACCAGCAGCTCCATGTCTTTTTGGTGTCCCACAAAAAGAGCTAAGAGGGGATGAAGTACCCCTATTCTGTTAGCCTTATTACTCATTATACTTGGCAAGATACAACTTTAAGAGCAGCAAGTACACTTTACCAAATAGTTTTCCATTTTATTACTCACCAGTAAACCCATGTACTTC